TGGCCCTTGAATTTCCGGAAAAGCAACGACTCTCTTCTGTAAAAAACCAGCCGCTATTCCGGAAAAGCTGCCGCTCGGGCATAAGTCCTTATTCCGGAACACTGTTCCAGAAAAGGGCCAGTGTAGACAGCCCAGTAGTCTTTTCCGGAAAAAAGCCCCGATCGCGAAAATGACGATCGGGGCTCTTTTCCGGAAAAGCGCATCTACATTGGCCACAGATGCTTTTCCGGAAAAGGGGCTTTTCCGGAAAAGCAGCCTGCCAATGTAGACACTCTTTTTCTGGAAATACTTATAACGAAAACTATTCTGTTTTAAGCATTTCCAGAAATTCATGCCAGTGTAGACACAGCCATATTGTTTAAACCAATTAGCCACACTCAACCAGCCAAATAGCCACATGTGGCTAATGGCAAGCATGTTGAACACCACGGCCTAGCCAGCTAACTCTCGTCAGTCTTTAAAAACTACTAGCAGGCTGCTGGTGGAGGTAGTTTTTGTGATCTGTTGGGGTTGGACTAGGTAGGAGATCATTGCGTAACCCACAAAACCAGAAGATGAAACCCAACCACGTGCCATAAATGCAGCTCCCTCCTTGGCATCTACCCGGCTACCTCTCCACTTACCTGGTTTGGCAGATTGATGGCTCATTCCATTATGACAGCAGGTTTCTGTCAACACAAGTGTTGATTGGTGTCTCTCCATTTTTCTTCAGGTGATAAGAGACTGGGGCAAGGGAAGTTCCTATGCCTTGGAAGCTGCCGTCATCATCGGCTCTTGCATCTCCGTGGCAATCAAATCTGTTCTGTTCTGGGCGCTGTTCCATGTCTATCGCAGCTTTGGGCAGGGGCTGAGAGAGAGAAGTGAGTATTTAGTGATAAACTGGCCAGGGCAAGGAGGCTGCAATCTGTAAGTGGGGATGTAAAAATGCAGTTAAAAATGTAACCGTGTAACCGCTCCAAATCATAGTGGTTATTTAAGCTTTATACTACAGAGCCCGCAGGAAGCCTCCCCGGGAGCTGGACCGGCAGACCTTGCTGGCCCTGCTCCCAGAAAGAAGGTTCTGCTGCTGGTCCCGCTCCTGGGAAGCCAGCATGTAACCTGCAGTGGGAGGGGAGGGGGCAGCTGGGCCTGCCACGGTTAACCGGAACTGCCTGCTGGTTAAGGGTGAGGCTTGCCAGTTAACCTTTCACATCTCTAGACTCAGTAGCATTTCAGCCACAGTCAAACAGGGAGTTTTTGTGGTGGTAAAGGGGGTTGTTAACACCTGCCAGTTTATGACAATAGACAGACCCTTAACTACAGCAGATGCTGCTGCAGCCTCTGAATTTACTGACCTGGCCATGGGCTTCTCAGCTCCGACAGGGCAGTGAATGACACATGCCTTCTCCAGGAAGGTGACGCCAGTCAAAGATATCACTCAGCCTAGGCTGCAGTGGGCACCTGCCCTGAGAGAAGCTTTATAGAAAGATGTTATTCATACATCTAGGCTACATAAACGGGCATTTTTTAATCTTCATCGCGCTTTCCAAACCCGCTGAGCCTCACAGTGCCTCAGGAGGGGCAGCTGAACTCCTGGAAAAACAGAGGCACAGAAAGAAGAGACTTACTGCAGCAACTGCCACTGGGATTTGAACTCTCATGTTTCTATGGCCCTCTCTTGTGCTTCATTACCCATCCTTTGTATGGCGGTGCGAGAAGGTGGCTCTTCCAATGACCTTCCTTTTTCTTTCTTCATAGTGTTTTCTTCCTATGGAAGGATAGATTCCTGAGGGGCAGCAACTTTGTCCGGTGCCATTTGGTCCTCTTATAGAGTGAAACCACAGCGGGAAGGACCCCATCCCTCACCCTGCCTACAAAGCACGAAATGACGGGATTCATTTCATTGGGTGTTTATTCAGATAACTCAGCCCAACACGTGGAATTCCAGCTCCTCGATGCCTTTGGTCCTCCCATTTCACCGTTTGGTCTCTGCACATTCCATAATTTGCTTTGTGCTTCCTGAATCCATGTATCCAAGCAGTGCAGCGGGTAACTTTCCAGAGCCCTTTCTGCTTTCCAGACTAACCCCGCCCCTTCCATTCCACTCTTGCTCCTGCTGACAGGATAGCACTTTTTGCATTATTCCACACTGTTGCGATGGCCACCGCTGTGTGACCCAAGACTATACAGATGTGCACGTGAGCAGAGGTTAATTGCGTAGAGTTTAAAACTAAAGCGGAACACTACTATCTTCTGGCTGTCACATAGACCACAGAGATACGGGCTTTCTGATTGAACAGTGAGGCATAAGAGAGGATTGGCCTGCCACAGTTTCCCAGTGTGATGTGCAGCATTGTCTTACCGTGCACATCCTCTGTTGCACTACTGGAGCAAGTAAATTCTTTTTTTTAAAAAGCCAAGATGTTTCTATGATTTTTACACCTCTCCTGGCTTCTGATATGGCCGTGCAATTGCTTGTACCGTAACAGCATGGCTAGGCCTTTTGCTCCTCAACTATCTTCTTAAATTGAAATATTTTTTTTGTAAATCCAACTAAAAATTAGTTTGCAAAACAAACTCAAATTAACTAAAGCCAATTGTGTGAGTACCTAACAAACATGCCATTTCATAACTGAGATTGATGGTTACATTAAGCCTTTAATACTATAAAAAGTTTGATATTTTAGTAATTGGAAGCTTTTGTTACTGGCTTTGTATTTTTCAATAAAGTTGTAAACACATTTTGGGGATGGTGAGTTGTTTTTTTCTGAGGGTTATCAGCCTGATAACATGCAAAGGAATCGATCATATATGGATTGGAATTACAACTGCAGTTGGTGTGTTGTGGGCAGAGATTCAGTCGGAGTTAGTATTTAAAAATCATGGGTGAAGTGCTGAGATTAAGTAGCTAGTGTAATATACAGTATTTTTATGCATTGTTTCTTACAGCAAAGGCTCTCGAAATATTTGAAAAATTGAGCCTCTCTGTACTCCTGTGAGGTAGAGCTATATCCACTCTATAGCTGAAGAAATGGAAGCGCAGATAAGTGGTCATGTAACCCACATGCTTACTGGGTGTGGTTCACTGTCCCACTTTGTGGCCCTTAGACTATTTGCAGAGAGAAAGAATGGGTGTGCTACACAGCACATCAGTGGCAGCACCAAGAATGAACAAGGAAGTTCAGTCTCTGCCCTAAGCCATTGGAAAAATACTCTGGCTTCACTAAGATAAAATGTTTTTACTTTTAAAATTGTTGCAGAAATGCAGAAAGCAGATTTGCTCGATAAATGTTTTTAAATAAGCAGACTTGCCCTGGCTCTCTCCTCCGACAACAATGCATGGCGGTTGCAATGCTTCTACTGCGCAGCTAAGCGCTGTCAAAATGTTATTGCAGTTTTTAAAAAATGGACACCTTGCTAATACATCCTTGTTATTTACTTCTTCTCCCTCACATCCTCTTCCTAAGGCGGTAACAAATGATTTTACAACTACAAGTAACACAGCTGTGACTAGACGCAAATAGTAATCTCCAAGAAAGCAACAATAGATGGTTATGCCTCAGGAAATTAACCTTTTAAGAAAAACTGGTTTTTATTCCCGAATGGGCTCTGTAAAGGGGTTGTGAATCACTGCCACAGCACCTCCTGGTCACACTGGGCATTAACACTGTCCTCAGCAGGGCGCCCCCTCTCTGGCCATTGCTTCACACTTGTTCCATGCTCTCGCTTTGAACCTGCAGCGCTCCCAGACCACGGCATCTTCAGAATGCTGCCCTCCAGCAGTGCCCAGCACACTGGTTTCTTACCCCCCTTCCGGGGGAGGGGGGGTCAGCAGTCCTCAGTCTTGTCTCTGCCATGGTGGCCAACTGCAGCCTCAGCCTAGCCCCTCACTTCAGGGGCAAGCCACAGCCCATAATGGCCACTCCCCAGTGTGCAGTGCAAGGAGGAAAGGGGGGTCCTGGCCCAGGGACCCTCTGACAGCTGCCTTATTCTGCTCTCCTCTCCCCCTTCTTAATTGCCTCCTGTTCCCTGGGACACACACACCCTCCTGGCCCATTTCGAGGCCTGCAGCCTGATGGGTAGGAGGCTGGAGCCTCTGTCTCTAGCTTCAGGGAGCCTGCCCAGCACTACTTTGTTTCAGGTGCTTCTCTGGAAACTGGTCCTGCCCTCTCCCTGGTCAGGACCAACAGTGCAGGCTCCCTCTAGCCTGCTTTTGCCCCTTCTGGCCCTAGTGGGGCAGCTGTCCCACTACAAGCTCCTCTAGTAGTCTGTTACATTTCACATTTATTAAGGTTTTTTTTTAAATGAGCTCAGAGTAACAAGTTACCTATCACGTTCATTTTAAAAGCACATTAACATCCCCATGAATGTTTATTCTTTAGTTACCAATGCAGCATAGCAGTTCACATTAGGATCTGAGCAACAAGAGCTTTTGTTAAAGCTAGTTTGTTAGTGTATTTAGTGCATGTCCAAGTGAGGGCCAGGTAGGTTTGTTTGAAGCAGGCAAACCATGGGCTTGACCCAGGCAAGATTCTCCACATACAGTACTGTCAGGGCACTGAAGTCATGCTCTGCAACACACCTTCTTATACTAGTTCTGCACCCCCTCACCAGCTCTGCCAATGTCCTCCAAGTCTGATCCGCACCGCTTGCCTTCATATCCCAGATATTCCAATCCCAGGGTCACTCTTGAACCGATTGAATCATTACAGACTAAGGTGACACAAATTCACTTTAACTCACAGACATCTGCCCTTCCCCATCTCTAATATCATTAACTCACAGGCATTCACCTTCCTTCCCCCGCATCCCCCTCCTGTTCTGAAATGTGATTTGTCCTTTTCATATGTGTTCATTTTTTTAATTGTATCCTTTGGTATATATGGCTGTGACTATTTTCTTCCACTATTTGATCTGAGGAAGTGGGTCTGGCCCACAAAAACTCATCATCTAATAAACCATCTTGTTAGTCTTTAAAGTGCTACATAGTCCTGTATTTTGTTTCACTTTCACCAGTGACTAAGGCAAGAACTGAATCCAGCTCTCCCAAGCTGAAAATCCAGCCTTACTCCACCAGCAACCCCAAACGCATTGATAACAGCAAGAATGAGGCCATTCATTCCCAACCAATGAATCCGAGCGATTTACAGAATCTAACAGGAGACTTCAGCTGGCAACAAGCTTTGCCGTGAGAAGCAGCGACTTTCACCTTGAGGGTAGGGATGTTAAAATGGGTGTGTGTGTTACTGTTTTAATTCTGGGCTCGCTGCCCAGCCCTCTATCCCATCCTAACACAACTGTCTCCAGTCCTGCTGATGCCTCCATGGCCGAGGCTGCCCCAGCCCAATGAAGCTGGCTGCTGCTTGAGGTCACTGGCGGGAACTGGTTAGCTGTTAAGTCTATTGGCAAACCTCCTGCTTACTGGTATGCTTATTGATTGACCATTTTCATAGCTCTACTTTGGGTCAGGAGTTTAAATGCGATCCATGTCAGCTGTTACGGAGTGAAGCTGGCTGAAGACTTCACTTTCCAATTGTTAACTCAGCTCCTGTCCAAGAGGCTAGTGGTTCACAACACTGAAATTTCTAAGTGCACACAATAGAAGGAATAATAGTTGCTTTTTTTGTCTATAGTAGGATCATCTACCCCATGTGCTCTTCTCAGAATTCTGTTTCTAATTACATACATCTGGAGCAGTGGTCACCAACCAGTCGATCGGGATCCACTGGTAGATCTTGGAATCTCTGACAGGGGATTCGGACTGGTTTGCTGGGAGGCTATAAAGTTCGGGCACTTCATCTGCCCCTCTCAGCACTGCCACACTGCTCCTTCCCTCAGCCTTGGAGGTGCCCCTCACTCCTGGGAGCCTCGTGCTTGCTGTGCAGGGCACAGGAAGAAGAGGAGAGGGTGCTGTCAGGGTGCCCCTCCCTCCACCTTTTCCCCCATCTCCACAGAGGGGGGTGGGGGACAGGGATGGAGGGAGTTTGCTGGCTGCTTTTGGAAGTGGTGCAGGTCCAGGGTAGGAGTGAGCCTCCCTTAGCCCCCTGCACCACCACCCAGGAGCCACTCGTGGTAAGCGGTGCCCAGCTGGAGCCTGCATTCTGAACCCCGGCCCCAGTCCTGGACCTCTCCTTCACCCAAACCCCTACCCTAGTCCTGAGTCCCTCTGCATCCAAACCCCTGCCTCCAGCCTGATAAAAGTGAGCGAGCATGGAGTGAGCAGGGGCAGGGCCTCGGAGAAGGGGCAGTAAGGAGGCGGAGCCAAGGGCTACGTCTAGACTAGCATGATTTTCCGGAAATGCTTTTAATGGAAACGTTTTCCGTTGAAAGCATTTTCGGAACAGAGCGTCTAGATTGACACGGACGCTTTTCCGCAAAAACACTTTTTGCGGAAAAGCGTCCATGGTCAATCTAGACACGGTTTTGCGCAAAAAAGCCCCAATCGCCATTTTCGCAATTGGAGCTTTTTTGCAGAAAACAAATCTCAGCTGTCTACACTGGCCCTTTTGCGCAAAAGGGACTTTTGCCTGAACGGGAGCAGCATAGTATTTCCGCAAAAAGCACTGGTGACTATCAACCCCCTTGGAGATGTTTGAAACTGCAATGGATTATTATACCTGCTCGCAATCAACGCTGTCCTGGCTTTAGAGGCAGGGGAAAAAAAACCCCAAAACAAAGAATTTGATTTAGTACACACACCCCACAGAGTAGCACATGAATTTGGAAAACAAACGTGGAAGAAAAGACATTTTAGGCCTTCCCACTTTGCAAGTGTAAAAGCATCTTAACAGTGGGGTGTATTGAGAGAGAATTCAACTCAAGCATGCTATTGCAATTGCACTATTTCTAGCTTCTCCCTCTTTTTAGTACATGTTGATTTTTGAGAAAAAAATGTTACAGATGGGCAGGATAACATCAGAAAGACTGTTCCCTACAGTTATCTTCTTCAGGCCAAATTCTCACTTGTACCCTTTCAATATTATTAACATTGGTGCTGCACAACAGCAGAATTTCCCTCCTCTTTTAAATGAACAGGAAGACATGGTGGGGGGAAAGGTCAATGAAATTCTCCCCTCAGGCTATGTCTACCAGAAGTATCCTGAAAACTCTGCCATGTCCAGGGAACACGTCCACTTTTTCGAAACATTTTCCAAAAAAATGGGCACATTCTTTCAGAAGCCCTGCATTCCTCATTTTATGGGGAATAAGAGATCTTCCAAAAGAGGAGGTTTTTTCCACATTTGCCCCCTGTCGATGGGCCCAATGTCAGAAAAGCCTCTTCCGAAAAAAAAGCAGAAAAAGGTATGCAATTTGCATTTCACAATTTGCGTATCATTTTCCAGAAAAAGAATGCAGTGTAGACATAGCCTCAACTACACACATGCAGTTCCCATTGGTTTAAATGAGAGTGGTCCAGGTAACAAATAGCCCCCATTGTATTGCTACTTAAAATACAAACTGGAAATGGTAGGTTTCCCAAGATTACTGGCATTCTTGTAAAACAGCTTTTTAGGAGTATAACTGGCCCTCTTTTGTGCCATAGCACTTGCTTCTTCCTTTCCTACACAACAACAAAATATTAGAGGCTGTATTTGGTTTTGATGGGGATACATTTAAGGGCTTCTTACCACCTAAAATCCAGTCCTTTAAAACTGCAAGTGTTATTTGAAACACTCACTGTGACAGGGAAGAGAAAAAAAAGCCCTTGTGACCCACATACAAGCAATCGTGGGAGTCATCC